ATTTTTTTAATCTTTAAAAAAGAAGAACAAAAGAAACTAAAGACAATTCGAACAAATGAGGAGGAGCATGCAACGCTTGAAAGAAATACACAACCCCCTAAATATGTAATTCTTATTAATTAAAATTAATTATTTGTAATTTGTAATTATATTTTTATTTTTACAAAAAAAATTAAGAATTACTTAAAATTAACGTGACATAACCATTTTATTTAAAATTTATATAAAGATAAAAATTAAAAATTTGAAGATCTGTTTTAAAATTAAAAATTAAAAATTTTCAAATTTTTTATTTAAATAAAATTGGAATATAAAAATTGAGTAACTAACTAAATATTACAAATCTGTATTTTTCCAGAAAAAAAAAACGTATGTCAGCACCAAAATAGGGAATTTAGTTTTTTTCTGGTATTTATCTTCAAATAAATAACCATATCAGTTAGGTTTTTTTAACTCGGTGTTAAAGATATAATTGTTTACAATACAACTGAAATAATTTATCTATGTATTACTTTTCCTAGAAACACACTAATCCATGACACTCCACTCAAAATAAGAAAACAAAAAATTATAACACATTATTTTATCATCTCAAATAACCATATCATAAATCAGATATCATATATAAAAGATGCGCATCCACGAAGGAGGATTTTCACTCATCTTTATTTCTCATTTTTTAATCATTTTTCTTATTATAGTTTTTGAATATTTAAAATTTTATTTTAAAATATCAAATTAATGTAATCTAATTTAGCTTTAAAAATTAGTCAAATCGATTCTCAAAAACAATAACATAACAACTAAAAAGAAATGGAGGAAGCAAAGTGAACAAAGAGCAGAACTTAAAAAGAGATCTTCACAACTAAGTCCAAACTACGGGTGAGCATGATATGGTACGGTACGATATTTGAAAGTTTCGATATCGTAATTTCGGTATTCGGTTTTTAAAATGTATATCATTATCATATCAATTTAATTCGGTATGGTTCGGTATATTGAAGTTCGGTTTCTACATTTTACAGTATGGTAATCGGTAACCATAATTTGTTCAACTTCGACTAATATATACTCGTATAATAGAGTATTATGACTTCGACAATTAAAAAAAAGTCTTAATTGTATCATACTAACACATTACACATGTAGAAATATATATGCAAAATAAAGTACAAACAACTCCTTTTGTTAATCAATTACAATTCAAATACATTTCAATCAAAATAGAGTAGTCAAAATTTTAGCTTCTAAACATTTAGTTTATACTAATACTAGGTTGCATATTTGTTACTAGTATTTTAATAATGTATATGTTATTTATGTAACTATATACTTCGATATGTTATATCTAAATATCAAATACGTATCGAATATAAAAAAAATAGAATATATATCATATACCACACCAAATACCATTATATTAAAATTACAGTGTTAAATTTTTTGATATAATATATATGAAATTTTGATACATACCATACCATGCCTACCCCTAGCCCAAACTCTCTTTTCATTATTCTTTATCTGTTTCGTAATTAGAAAAATTTGCAACAAAGATTTCACAACAAGGAATTAGGGGTGTTCACGGTTTGGATAAAAACCGATCCAAACCGAAAAACCAAACCGATAAAATAAAACCGATTTTATTTGGATTTGGTTTGGTTTGGTTTTAGATTTTTGAAAACCGATAGTATTTGGTTTGGTTATGGTTTTATTCAAAAAAAACCGAAGAAATAACCGAACCGAACCGATGAATTATATACATATATTTTATTAATATACATACTTAATATATTATTTTTATAAACAATTTTAAAGATCTTATACATACTTTCATTAAAATTTCTTTATAATTTACTTATTGAAAGCAAAAATGCCCAAGATGAAACATTTATCTTATTAATTTCATGTATATGAGTGTCTATATCAATTCTTTGTGGGACTGAAAATGTTATTGTCTCTTCCTTCTAGGCCAATATAGTGAATTTTAAAGCTTTATTGATAGTAAATTTAGTGATTGAAAGTTTACTAATTTAAGTCATTCTAACTATTTTTCGTTTTGAATGGATTGTTGTCACTTTTTTCACATTTTAAATGAATTGTTTCTTTTATTTTTGTGTATGGTTAATAACCGAATAACCGAACCAAACCAAACCGAAACCGATAATAACCAAACCGATAAATGTATATTGTATTTGGTTTGGTTTGGTTTTGATAATTTTAAAACCGATCAAGTTGGTTTGGTTTTGGTTTTGACCAATAACCGATCCAAACCAACCCGTGAACACCCCTACAAGGAATCAAAAGGCTTGACAATTGACATGACTATTAATGAAAGCTAAATTATTTTTTGACTGTAAACTTTCGTTAGGATCGAAATAATTAGGTGTAATGCGAAAGTTAGCAAAGTAAACCTCCAAAGACTACGAGTAAGAAGACAAACAAGAAATATACCAAAAGACACAAAGATTTAACGTGGTTCGGTCAATCGACCTTCATCCACAAAGGAGATGAGGAATCCACTATATCAATATGAGATTACAAAATATAGAGAAAAATAACATCAACCAATTCTCTCGGAATACAAGGAGGTTCACAAATTCTCTCTCATAACCAAAACTCTCAAAACCCTTAGAACAACATTGTGAATGTTGATTAAGTTAGAAGGAATAAACCTATATTTACAGAGTCCTATATAAACCTTTTCCTACAACAAAAAGACCAGTCAAATCTTAAACCTTCTCCTAAAAATATATATTTTATAATCATTTTGTGTGAATTTTTTTTGTATTTCACCTTTAAAGAAAGCAGAATTTGTTATTTTCCAAAATATTTCTCTTTCTTTCTTACTATATTTTTTATGTTGTGTGTAAATTCTCAAACTACTATTCTATTTGTTTCGTAAAGTTTTGAGGTAATAACTCAAATGGTCACTCAACTATGAACTTTTTTCTCAGAAAGTCACTCAACTATGAGTTATTTTCTCGGAAAATCACTGAACTTTGATAAAGTCACTCAACCATGAGTGTTTTACTTAAAAAGTCACTCAATCTATTCAATTAATTTTTTTTAAGTCTTAGTAATTTTTTTTAAAAAAAGAAATAATTAAGTATCCATTTGAACTGCCAATGCTAAAATAATTATGTAACATCGTCAGTATACTATGCTTTCAAACGGTAGAGAAGTTCCCATAAACAGAGATTAAATTTTATGTGAAAATATTTTTATTTAATATATTTCCAAAAGAACCTTGTCGGCTTCATAGACAAGCATATATAAATAAAACGACGGGCTATTCTTCTTCTCGAACTAGTATATTTCCTTCATCTCCCAGTTGCTATCCATAAATGGAGTTAGTAATTTGGTCTGTCTGAATTTTGACTCATCGAGTGAGGTATTTTGACTATTTACTTTTACAATTGTTCCTCTTTAATTTGTCCAGCGTTGAAGGGAATTTCTCTGTTTGTTTCCTCTTTTGTAGTCGTCTTTGTTACAAATGTTCGAATCTCATTAATTTGTGAGGGCAGAGTGTCCGGATGGACTTTTTAAAACGTGAGACCATTGAAATCTGCTCCAACTTGAGAAAAACAACGAAGATAGATAACAAAGCAATAAAGGGCCACGAAATAGTGGAGACCAATTCTCGATAGTGCTAAAACTAGCTAATTACTAATACTTTCTTCTTCTTTTTCCTTTTCCTTTTCCTGTTCATGTTGCAAGTTCAAATAAAGTCCTACTTATTCAATTAAGGAGGACTTTATTTCCAAATTTGAGACAAATCAAGTAAGTCAAAATAGAAAATATTGGCATTCGCAAAGTATTAATTGAAATATTTCTATCAAATGGTATTTTCGGTTATATTTGAAAAAAAGAACTAAGATAGCCAGTGCTTTACCGCATTTTTAAAGATTCATTTGCAACTTAATGAAGAAAAATATATATTACAAGAGTATACCATTTTATAAGTCGGATTGTTTATAATTAACATAGAGGAGATGAATTAATGCATTTAGATATAGAGACTCGAAATCAGAGTATTTATTAATTTAACAGTTGAAGCCAAGCTTAAGTGTATGTTTATATAATATCCCACAAAGAAATAATGACGGGAGTGTGCTAATATCCCCATATTCTATCAAATAAAGGTCACAAACATAATGAAGATTATACTGTTGTAGAAATGTCTATTATCATGAATCCAAATTAGTCAGTCCCAACATAATTAAATATGTCCTTTTATACATTAGATTAAAAATTGCAACGCTTTATATGTTTTGAATGTACTGATCAAAACCAAAACAAGTAAAAATGTCTTTTGACAATGCAAATTAGTACCATCAACGATTTTGAAGGACTTGCTGAGACGTCAATTCAAATGGTCATACATTATTTCACCAAACTCCAAAAGATGTACTTTTATATTTACATTAACTTTGACAACTATACACCAAATATAATAAGATGTTTTCATGGTACCACCTATATTAATTTAGTGAAGTTTTGGTGTATATATGTTTAGGAAGTTGGTAAATACTCTATAACTCCTATGGGAAATAATATATTCATTTCGTTCATTTTTATTTGTTCATTATTCTAAAAATAGATTTCTACTATTATTTTGAAAGACCTAAAGACTAAATATCAATTAATATTAATATTATGATAAAATTATACTTTCTCCGTCCATTTTTAATTGTCATGTTGCATTTTTTAAAAGTCAATTTGATTAATTTTTAAAGTTAAATTATATTAGATTAATTCGGTATTTTAAACAAAAAAATTAAATATTCAAAAACCATACGAAAAGTAGTATAAATTACAGTTTTTTATATTATATAATGTTAGTCAAAATTCTTATAATCTGACTCTAAAAAAGGAAAGTAGGAGAATTAAAAGTGGACGGACGGGTATTAATCAAATGTAAAGGGAAGAAATAAAAGTGACGGAGGGTGTAATAATAAGTATTGATATTGAGATTTGACAAGTTGATAGAAGCAGGTCATGTCATGTCTGCTTAATTTTGTGTGTTTGATGCTTGGAGTTGCTTCTGTCTGTCTGTATCTGCATCTGAGTCTCAAAACTAGTATTTCTTGTTCCAAAATTAGTGTTTTGTTGGAGCTTTCTTTTTCAGTCGGCCTATCTGATATACATACATACACTTTGTGAGTTCGATTTGGAGTTGTTTTCCCCTCTTTTCGATTATTAATATGATTTACTTTTCTTTTTATAAATGGAATTTTGTAGAAAAAAAGGACTTTTTGCTTCAATTGTTAGTTAGTTTGCTTGAAATTATATGCATATTTTTAAGGATTTGAATGAGTATGTATGTATGTATGAAGCTGACTTAGACAAAGGGCTCTTGAAAGAATCTGACCCAACACATAACATAGAATTTTGTATTACCCGTGCTTTGCTCTTTGATTTTTCTCTGCAACATGTAGCACTTTGAAAAATATTCCTATTGCTTTTTCCTCTGAAGTGATAAGCTGAACATCACCAATTTATTACTGAGCCACTTTTTCAAAACAAGTTGCTCGAGAACCTCCAACGCTTTATTATCTTTGACACCTTACTAATAGTAATATACCTGTGACATTATTACTTCTCCTTTAAATATGAAGATATAGCTCATGCTTTTTAACATCTTCCAGCTTATGTTTTACTTGCATGTCTCATATGTTCACTATATTACAGATTACTGAGGACCCACCCGCAATTTCTTCAAAGAACTCAAACTAGAGCCATATATATATATATATTGAGAACAAAAACAGTAAGACAATATATCTCTTACTATTTTGCTTATATTAAATTTCAAGTTATAACCTGCTCTCATTGTTCCCCATACATGTATCACTCATATAAAATAGTATGGGGAACGATCTCCAAGATTTGCTCTTTTAGTCTTTGGTTATGATGTATCTATCTCTATTTACAATAAAGTTTTCGTGAGTTTACTGTTACATGTTGTTAACATGAATTACAGTCTATTTGGACTCACTTATTTCATTTCCTCTTCCGCCACATGCTTTTCTCTGTCGCAAATACATCTTCTTTGTTTAACATCTATGATTTTTTCCCACAGTAACGTCTACTATCTGGAAAAAATTAATTTTTGTGATTGTTTATAGCGATAAACTTCATATGTTCATTGCCAATGTCGATAGGCTGTCCAACACTTTGTCTCTATGCTGGTAAAGTAGTACATTTCTGCTTATTTAAGTGTTCATCGATTCTTGGTGAACTACTTTGAACTCTGCAGATCCTCATTTCAAAACTAATTTTTTTCAAACACCTCAAAAGTGCTTCAATGCAATGGACTCTTTTGTTGCTCAGTAACATAGTAGATTAGAGTTTCTTATTTTCTTTGTCACAGGTCGCATTTGGAGTCTGTGTGTTCTGTTCCCACTAAAACCATTTGGGTCTTTTCCTCGTGTATATCAGTTCTGATCTCTTCCATTTTCGGTCAAAATTATAGATGAGACAGAGGAAGAGGGAGATGGAAGTGGACACACACAATGCATCCATATTTTCCCTAAAGAAAACAAGTTAAGTTTTTATGAGAGTGTAGCTTTTGTCTTCTTCTCTTCTTCGTCCCTTTTCAGAAGTGAGGGATGACTGCCAATGTTGCTGTAAGATATATCAAGTAATGATCAGAAACCTCCTTTTTTCCTCAATCTATCAATTTTTGCTGCTCGAATTTAGCGTTATACAAACTAGGCAGATACACAAAATAGCTTAACCTCACTTTTATATGTATCTGTTTTCCATTAGTTGTATAATAAAGCTCTTTTGTTATAGTTTGATTTTCCAGCTGCTGGATCCATTTATTCATATATCTACTACTACACACCGCTTATCTTTGTATTCCTTCTTTGCTCTTTAACTTTATTGCATGTATCTAAATCAACTATGCCTGGAAATACATTGATATTACGGGCACCACTTATCTAGTCTTGTTTAGAGAAATGTAGTACTTTTGAGCTACTCTTTAATTTCTTTACTCAAAAAATCTTTTTGGTTCCTAAAACTGAAGGTATGATGAATATGTGTTTGTGGAACAAAAAAATGGAGGGCAGCAGGTCCAGGTTGATGGAAGAAAAAAACAAAAAAAGATCACTTGATTGGGAATTTGATATAAAAAGCATGGCAGAAGATATAAATCTTGTTTTGAAAACCATGGTTTGGATTCTAGGAAATCATAAAAACACAACTGTTCTCCAGTTTAAATTGTTGTTGAAGAGCTTACAAATTCAAAAGCTATTCATGACCCTTGTTCTTAGGGTTCTCAACAAGGTATAAATCAATGTCTCTTCTCTTTAATTTGTCTCTTTTTTATTATTATATGCACAAAATTCATGAATTACTAGTATTGTTATTTTTAGGAATATGCTTGTGAACAAGAGACATTGAATAAGATTTGGGATTTGAAGATGGAGCATATGAAATTGATTACCGATGCACGTGCTGAGTTGAACAAGGTACTCAAAATTTAAATAATATGTATCTTATTAGAAATTTGAAGGAGTAACAACCTAAGAGTTCATATAAACTTATTTACTTCGTGGGACTAATGAATTGTCAATAAAGATTGGGAATGACAAACGGAAGAAAAAGAAGAGGAAGATGGAGAAATTAGTTGAGGATGATGAAAACAACAACGTTATTGATCATGATGGAAATCAACTCGTTCTATGCGTTGAAAAATTGCAAGAGTTACAAGAGGAGTTGGAGAAGATTAACAAAGAGGGGAGTGGTGAGTTGTTGAAAGTTGCGCAAAAGTACAATCGGAACCGTCAACCGTTCTATGACAAGAGAACAAATATTATTAAAGATATTCCTGGCTTTTGGTCGACAGCTTTCCTGAGGCATCACGTACTTGGTGGGCTTGTATGTACTGAAGAGGACTGCAAGATTTTCGAGTTTCTAAGCTCAATCAAAGTGGAAGTCTCTCAAGATGTCAAATCAGGTTATATCATTATCTTCAATTTTGATTCAAATGAATATTTTGAGAATACAAAGCTTTGGAAGAAGTATGGGTGTACTAAAATTAGTGCATCGTCAATACAATGGGCACAAGGCAAGGGAGTTGATGAACGAAGCTTCTTTAAGTGGTTCAGTGAAGTTGATAAAATGGATGAAATCGGTAAGATAATCAAGGATGAGCTGTGGTCCGATCCTCTCTTTTGTTTTCATCACGAGGCAGATGAAGATAAGGTAGTGAAGGACAGTGAAGATGAAGAACAAAATGATTAGAGGTTGGGCCCTTGTTATTCAAATGCCTTAGAAATGGTTTTGCACTATTCACAAACTTTACAGCAGGGGCACTCTATAAATGAGGAGTTTAAATTGTCTCATCTTCATGATTTGGTATTAGTCATGTGTACAAATTTCTTTTGTTTAAAGGTATATATGAAATTTTATGTCCATAGAAAGAAGATTCATTGTCCGTTTATTCAGATGTGTGATCTCATCTCCTTAGCAATAGAACTGCTTAATTAGTTCGTGGTGAGCTTGCTGATTAATCTGAGAATGGACTAGATTGTAGCACATTACAAGTATTTCTTTATGTACAGTAACATTGCGCGTGCATGCAGTTTATTATTTAATATGATTTTTCACACATAAATCAGGTTATAGTTTCTCATTGAAGCTGGTTACTAGCATCCGTAAAGACCAAAAAGCTTCAAACTACAACTTCCATCTGAGCTATGCACTTAGGTGTTACACTATTGATTCATTGTAGTTTGTCAAAATTCATTAGGTTTAATTTATTTTGAGTATAGGTATAACTCGTTGTATTGTGTTGCCTTGTGTGGTGAGATTATAGTTTTTTTTCTTGTATATGCATGTCGTCTAGAACTTTACCACAAATGTGGTGTAAGGCAAAATCCTAAATATGGCTTGTCTTGGAAAATGACCCTAGGCCCTCTTTGCCTAAAGTTTTCTTCCCTTGGCATTAATCTTAGTTAACCTATTCCTTGGAAATCATGTAGCACCACACCTTGACCTTTTCGAATCCACCATTCTAGCACTTCTCCTCCTTAATGGCTAGTGATGAAAATATGGATTGAAAGCGTAAGTTTGAGGGAATGCAAACGAAGTATAAATCGGCAAACACCTATGTTTGAGGCTCATCAAAGAATGAAAGAAGAATGTGTTATGGCACCAAATGTGTGAATCGAAAAGTGCTTTATTCAGGTGTGTTCATTGTGCACAATTGACAAATCTATTAGTCTCCTAAAGTCTCTCAGCCCAATTAAGAGAATTTCACCCCAAGTCTTTGTCATTACTTAGGTGTCGAATTAATTTTCTCATCATCATTATATGCCTCAAGTTAGTTATCCTATCTCTGGCTCAACCTAAAAGATGCGGGTTGGTAGCCCTAAGTCCGTAATAATGATTTGTTTTCCTAATCTTAACCTTTTTTGTCAAGCAAGTTAGAATACAGACGAGTTCTTAATGTTTGCAACCATTAAAAACAATCTTTATTAAAGAACCTTAATATAAAATGATCACCCATTCATGCAAAGATTTTGTTATAAAGAATCAATTATCCTCATCTCTACTCTAAGTTCAATAACCCTTACTCATAATTAGTTGTGAATATATGTGTGTTCATACTCAAAAATTAGCTAAATTATATATGAATATGGTGATTGGATGTGTAAATACATCCAGATCAATAATCATCACAAACGGTCTTTAACACGCGGGGTTACATCGATAATTTGTTGGCTATTAAGTGAGCGACTAGACCCTTTTTATACGTATAGTCTTTCAATTTTCTTCTCCAATTTATAGCTATAAGTAAAATGTAAACATATATTTTGGAGCTAAAAAAATAGGGGGCCTTGAAAATGTTTGTCTCAACCAAATGAACACCATGTCCACACAACTTCCAAATATTGTCACATCCTCGTTTTCCAACAAAAATGTCAACAACCAACCTTTTCATGAGGTGGAATTTTTTTTACAACTAACAACACCAAGTAGGTGATTCATCTACTTGACTGATCACTTCAATTTTTGGTCATGCATCCTAAAGTATGTGACACGCCTATTTGTCCTACTTTTTCATCCTTTATCCCTTTCATTTAATATAAGCCACATATATAAGTAGCTCGATCAAGTTGAACGTCTTAGCAAGTAGCTCGCTCAACCAAGTAAGACATCTAAATAAGTAGGTATTTTTAACCTACATTTTGGCATTCGGAATTTTATTCCCTTCGACAATTACTTTCACTTTTGTACACTTGAACAAAATATAGACTTTAGACACAATTATAGTCTCTTTTTCCATGCTCGAATAATCTCAAAGATGATAACTTAGACGTGAACACAAGAGTCGATCATAAGGAGAAATAGTTATTACACCCTCTAACTCTTCTTCAAACTTCCCCAACTCTTGATATAGAATTTAGATTGACGAGCGATTTATTTTGCCGGAAATAGGCTCAAAGATCTTTAATTTAATAGTTATTACACCCTCTAACTCTTCATATGTTGGGAGATGTGCTTGTTTAAAATCATATCATATGTTGAATCACTTGAAGTGACCCTCCACAAGGTATCCTTTGATTTGAATTTTTATTTTAAGGTTTCCCTTGCCCAAAAACCTTGGTTTAACATACTCCAAAATGAGTTTGTTAAAAATCGAATCGAAACCAATTACCAGAACTGGAAAGAAGTTATTGGTTTATTGGTAATGGATTATTGATTTAGCAGTTTCGATAATGGTTATGATTTTTTTACATCGGGTCATCAGTTCTAAACAGTTTGAGGTTTTTTCTAACAGGTTAACCAATAACCAAATAGTAAATTAAAAATAAAATTAAATTATACCAATCGAAATATAAAGTCCTTGATTTAGGGTTTAGTTTCATACTTTTTGGATTGTCTCAAACTCTCGGTTATTCTATAAGGTGTCAAGGTTTGATTTTGAGCAATATGCAGTATGTCAACCTATGTGCATGGTTCATTTGGTTTGTCGCCTTAATTCCAATAAATGATTTTCAATGATTTTTTTTGTGTGAAAACTTAACGGTTTAACCGATCACGATAAATAATCAATAATCGATAATCAATATATCTTAATAGTTCTATAACAACTGAGTTTCACACCAATCCGTTGTCATTCGAGTAGTAGCATGTTAAATAACATAGGGGTATTACAATTTAATCCTCTTTTATAGCTATTTTTAATTATCACATTATTTATGGACAAACACTTGATTTGAACAAGAATAATAACCGTTTGAAGACAAATAGAACTTGAGAATTAACAGTTTGAGGCAAAGTGGACCTCCAAAGAATTTGATGGTTTTTGAAGTACCATGCAACACTCACATAGTTGTGTAATCAACACTAGCATTACTGTATATTGTCAATAAAATCATGTCACAAGATATTGTCTGAAATTATAAAGACTTGGTTCGTGAGTCGAGACAGTTTAGAATGAAAACAAATAGAAAACGAGAATTTATAACCAACATCAAGAAAATGCAATTTGCATTCTTCTTTCTTTTTTTTTCAAATACAACGTAGTTGCAACATAGATTTCATACCACTCTTTGTGTCATGCCCAAGATTACTCGTTAGAAATGCTATATATCTATCTAATTGTCGAGGCTGACAAGATTTTACAGATTTCACGCAGCATAGCACTCTTCTATTGAAACTGAAATTATCATATGGATACATGACTTTACTCAAACCTACAATACAAATCGACATGTGAATATCAGGTATCCAGGGTTAGATGTGAATAAATACGATGGATCCTCCACCATGCACGTTCAATTGCCAAACATTTGGAGCAGCAGCTGTGTAGATCAAGTTGTCCCCTAGCTCTCAGTAATCAGTTAATAAGAACATGAGTTGTCAATGTTTTCGTCTTGGCAGGAATGAATATACATGCAGAATGCTAACTCTGCAAGGTAAAAGCACAGGCAGCTCCAGAGCTCCAAAAGCCACTCCATATGAACATCACGGTTACTGCCGAAAATACAACTCTTACTAATCCATCCAATACTGCATTTAACTCACGAAAAATCTTGAAGTGCTAGACTCAGCTCCTGAGCAGACTTGGCAATGGACCCTCCCCTTCTGAATGAACAAATGAATAAGCGAAAAGAGAATAAATAGAAAGAGCAAATTTAATTGTGTAACATTTGGACCAAAATTGGGTGAAGATGCACTGACGCACCTAGTTAGAGAGGGCAGCCAATTTTTTACTTTTTCAAGCTCAACAAAGCAAAGGTTGTAGCGCTCCATCCTTAGTTATCAATAAGGAAGAAAAACATTCAAATTAGAAAATAGCAAAGCACAGAAATATAAGAAAATATGAGATAGTACCTTTGCTCTGCCTCAATATCAACACCAACTGATGCTGGTGCAGACATTGAAGAATAAATCACTGAACCATATACTTTAACAAGTTTGAGCAGCATAATCAATGAAATGTCTTGATGCCTAAAGAATGTCACCAAAAGTCTAATGAGAATCAGACTACACAATTACAGCACAGACGAAAATAATCAAGCTCAAATTTGTACCTATCCAAGTTGCTCTCAAGCAACCCCCCAAGTAGTGGTAGAAGGCATGTGCAAATCTCTAATGTAATCATGTCATTTTTCTCTGTTAAAAAGCTTATTACATCAGCAAGCACCTGTATCATGCATCAGAAGGTCCACATCGTGTTAAAAAGTTAACTATCAAGGTCGAGAATAGCATAGAAAGGACAGACTTACAGCAGGATCTGCCATCTTCTCCTTACCACATCTTGTTAAAGGGTTATTTTCAAGATCGAGAATAGGGCACAGAAAGAAAGACTTACTGCAGGATCTGCCATCTTCTCCGTTGCAATAAGTGCCCCTTTAATGTCATGTCTTTGCCAGTACTGATAAACAACCTGTGAAAAAAAGAATATGTTAAATGTTTGCTTTAATACAAGTAACATGTTTTTTAATTTTTCACCAGATTTTCTAGATAAGTCTTTCCTAGTCAAATTGGTATCCTATTATATAGGAAACTGTTCACTTTTGGCTGATTTTCAGGATAGTGAATAGCCAAATAGGATTGCTTTGTTTTCATATATTTACCTACTTACAGTTTGTATGTCAGCTATTCAAATCAGGAGGTGATGATTCAACAAAATAAGCTATTTACGGATGCATCAATTCTTCTCCTACTATATTTTCTCAATTCCTTTTCACGAATTTATCTTTGTATTTTCTTGCTTCCCTCATTCTTCAAAAGGTTCATATAATGAATGACAAAGCCACACAACATGACTATTGCTAAAAGACGCTCTGTTTATTAGATTCCTTACCCATTCATACCATGTTTCAGACTTCGATTAGCTCCTAGTAATGTCGTGCAAGTAGTCCTCAGCTAAGAAATAAATTCTAATGTCCATCTTATATCACCTTAAATGTAGCTTTTAAACAATCAATAATGAATGATAGAAGAAAAACTAACTTCCTCTGGTGAATACAATCAGCAGAACTATGCCAAAGTAACCGGAGCTGTATTTAGAACCTACCCTCGAAAAGCGCATCTCAGACATTGTTTTTGAAAAAT